GACGGGAGCTGACCAGGGATTATCTGATTTCTCGACTATCCCTTCCTTAATTAGGCCACCAATGACCTTTTCTATCTCTTGTCGCTTTGCTGGAGCTATTCTCCTCGGAGGAATCTTTATTGGACAGTGATTGCCTGTGTTTATTCTGTGCTCCACAAGGGCTGTGCAGCCGAGGTCATGATCTCCTTTTAAAAAGACGTCAGCATAATTCGCCAAAAGTTCTTTTACCTGAAGAGCCTGTGATGATGACAAATGGACTATGCTCTTCTTATAGAGGTCAGTTAAATGTTCTGGAAGTGTATGTCCTTTCTTTATAGTTGTATTTCTTGCTTTAACATTGACTGGCTCTACCTCCTGGCACACACCCAAACTTTCCTTAAGTGTCTGTTCGCATTTAGAGAAATTGGCCACTGTTATAGGTACTACTTGATGATCCACCACAAGTGACCTTCCAATCTTCAAATCCGCTGGCCTGGATGGGTCTTCCACTGCTTCCACAAGCATTGGGCTTCCTTGGGGATGTTCTTTTATCCTACCCCAAATTATCTTCTCTGACATAGGGGTTATTGTAGTTGACTTGAGCACTGTGACATGCAAATCAACAGATGCAGCAACACCTACTGGAATTTGGCCTTTGTTGTTTCCAATCGTCTTTTTATGGAAGTTAACTACACACTTCCTCGGTAGTAAATAGTACAACCCTAATATGCATTGGTCTTCAATGTCAATCAAGTATACTTTCTTGTCTGTTCTTCATGCCCATGAGCTCGATAGTTACCCACACTGGTCCCCACAACCTTGCATAATGTCCTGTCACACCACAGAGCTTCTGTATGGCTTCTGGTACTACTTTGTGATCCAGCATCTTGATACTTACAAGGGTTTGCTTAGATGCGGAATCTATGACAAAGTTGCACCTTTGGCCATCCAGCTTTCCTGTCATGTAGACATTATGTGTGCTTGCCATTTTACACTTAGCTGTTGGGACTTTCACGATGGGGGTTGGTGGGCGTCCCTCAGCACCAATTACTACTGGTTTCCCGAAGCTGACTTATTGGTGGTATTCTTCTTACACTGGCTCCTCATATGTCCTTGTTCTCCACAGTTCCAACAATCTTTTTTTGGTAGCAGCCTTTCCTGTCATGGCATCTTCCATGTGTTGAAGTTGCTGGCATTGAGCTCTCTTGTGCCCAGGTTTGTTACAGTGCCAGCAAAGTCCCTTAAACTTCTCTGAAAGCTGACCTTTTCTGGCCTTGAATCCTGATGACTGTAGCAACTTTGGTACCTCTGTGCTAGACTTAACGTAGGATTCAAATTCAAGAGTTCTGGCCATTGCATCCTGCATAGTAGAGGGGTGTGCTTGCTTCACTTATATCTTCAGTTGTGGACTGTCCAAAGCATCTTCAAACTAATCCCTCAGCAACAACTTGAGGAGATCGGGTGGTGTAGTTGGGTAGGCCTTGTGTGCCATACTTTCCAAGTCCTTTGCCAGCTCTTGCAGGCTCTCCCCTTTAGCACGGACTCTAGTCCTAAACCTAGCACTGTAGACTTCGGATTGATTTTGGGTTCCATACCTGAGTTCTAGAGCAGCTACCAGTGCTCTATAGTTGTGCCTGTCATCTACTGTCTAAGTATTTCCAATGGTTGTCCCTTCAGGCTCGTTGTCAGAGATATTGCTTTCTGATCCTCTGTCCACCCATTCATTTCTGCCAGGAGCTCAAATTGTACTCTATATGCTTCCTACGGTGCCTTCCCATCGAATTCCTGTGGCTTCCTCCGTTCTTGATCACCCCTATTGCTGACACTCATGTCTGGAATATGACTTCTAACAGGACTGAAGATGTCTGCAATGGGGTATAGCTGCGTGGACTGGAAGACATTTCCCATTGTCTGAAGCTGATTAGGTCTATGGCTAACAT